ATATATACACTACAGAAATAAATTATATTATTACTTAATATTATATTAATTTATATTTTTACTGGCAACAAAGTCATACAAAGTCATTGTGAACATTTGTTAAATCACTCAGCCTTACTTCATCCAGAAAGCATCCAGAAAAGAGGTCTGGTTAGTAAAAGGTGAGCAAACGAACAGCCTCTGAGCCTCATGCAGCGCTCGATTCATCATCCGGATCCTGTGGGCCGATGCCAGCGCTGGGGTTACGCACACAAGATGATTGTGTATCATATTTTACACTCTTGGTCTCATGCAACCAATTTTCCATGAGAGGCACTCCGGTAAGAAAGCGCGGGCCAAGAACACATAATGTAAGTGTAATTTATGTAGCTTTCACGGGAGAACAGCGTGTGTGGAGACGACTCACAGGTGGCAGGATCTGAGACTGGGAAATGATGCTGTTGGGAAGGCTGTTCGGACAACTCGTGCTGGAAACCTCCGCCCATGTGACCTGGAACCCCGTGACGGGCTGAAGCGGCTGCGCTCGCGACACCCTCCAGAGGAAACCAGCCGTCACGTTACCGTCGTGGAAGCTGAAGGTCGCTGTCAGATTCTCAGGCTTAGCCAAAACCTTCGACGGCACTGGGGGTTTGAGAAATACATAAAATATATCAGGAGGACATCAGAGAGTTAAGGCTCAGACCACACAAAACCACACAAAACACTTCGGGATCCAATCAGACTGCGTGCATGAGGATGCACCAATTTTTATAAATATGACAGGTAACAAAAGAATGACAAAAATACATTCATATTATGAAAAATGAGGGAACTAGTCGGTGAATGAAAGTTAGAGAGGGTTTTATTTGAAGCACTTAGTACCAGGGTTATTACTGTTAACTAAGACTAAACATTTTGAAGACTTCTTCAGTGCTTGAAATAAAATATGATCAACTTATTTTATGTCAGTCAGTTGCCAAGGCAACATTTCTCAATTTAATTTAGTTTAAGTTGATTGTATTTAAAATAGCTAAAATTTAAATTAATAAAAACTACATAGACGTATTTTAAAAAACTAACAAAAATGAAATCACACAACAAAATTAATAAAACTTTAACTATTTTTTATTTTTGGAAACAAAAGAATGCTAAAACTTTAGAATTAAAATGGAAAATAAAACTAATACATTTTCTTTAAAGTGAAAACACAAAAAATTACTAAAACTTTAACTAAAATTAAAACGGAAAATAAAACTAATAATAGCATTTAAAAATTAAAAAAATAAATAAATAAAACTTTAGAATTAAAATAGAAAATAAAACTAAAAATAACATTTTTAAAAAGTGAAAACAATAAAATTACTAAAACTTTAACTAACGGAAAACAGAAATTATAAAATACAAAAATTAATTTAAAATATGAATAGAATCTATAATAGTATGTCAATGATAATAAAGTAACACTGGTATGGGCTCAAAAGGTCACTCAATCTCAGTTTTATTTCTTGTTAACTAAAATTGTCTGAAAAAAAACATTTATGTAAATTGACAAATTATAAATGTTAACTAAAAATAAATGTTGACGGAACTAAAATAAAAAAAAAACAGTTATACTTTCAGTAAAAATTTCAATTAGATGCTAAGGCAACATTTCTATCTAAAACTGGAATACAAATTAATAAAAACGTAAAAAAAAAAAAAATGACAAAAACAAAACAAAATTAATCAAACTAAAACTGAAATAAAAATAACTATAAACTATGTAAACATTTAAAAGAAAAACTAAAACTAATGACAAAAACAACAAAATTATCAAAGCGTTAAATAAAAATACAATGAAAACAGAATATATATATATATAGCTAGATAGCTAGATAGATAGATAGATAGATAGATAGACAGACAGAC